CCGACCAAGGCTTTCGAAGCTTCGTCGCCAAACTCGGGACCAAACAACATTTCACATCAGTCGAGCATCCCCAAACCAACGGGCAAGTTGAGGCCGCCAACAGGGTCATCCTGTGAGGACTTAAACGCCGACTAGGCGAGGCAAAAAGGGGGTGGGTCGAGGAACTACATAGCGTCCTATGGGCTTACCGCACCACACCCCATTCGACGACAGGTGAGACTCCTTTTCGACTGACATACGGCACCGAGGCTGTCATCCTCGTAGAGATCAGGGAACCCTCCAGGCGGACAGAGATGCCTCTTGACGAGGAAATGAACGACTAATCCCTTAGGGACGAACTCGACATGGTCGAGGAAATTCGATCAGGGGCGGCCCTGCACGAGGGCACTTTGAAACAAAGAGTATCCCTACGTCACAACAACAAGGTCATCAGACGCGAGTTCCAGATCGGCAGCCTAGTCTTGCGAAGAAACCAGAAAGACTCCTGCGAAGGGAAATTGGCCGCAAACTGGGAAGGACCCTACCGCGTTCAAGGCGCTACAGGTACTGGAGCATATTACCTCGAGCAGTTAAACGGAGAACCATTACCACGACCCTGGAATGCTGCTAAGCTGAAACAGTACTATAGCTAAAGCCCTCAACCACTGAGGACTTTTATCGTCGAACAGTTACCCTTAGCCAACAAAGGGAAAGTCTCGACCATGTAGGCGAGTCGAGGTACGGACCCGACCTACAAACCCCCGAATGGTATATCGTCGTTCACCAAATAGCCGAATGCCTATGCCCAGCAGGGACACCTCGATCGAGCTCCATTGTCGAAGTACCCACATGGCAGAACACCCAGCTCGCGATGGGCAGTTCACGTCGCGAGCGTAGGACCCCGATTTGGGTCATACGTCAGACATACGGGCTCCACTCCGCATAATCGATGCATTTCGAAGTGCGCCGAACCATCAAAGGGGTCGAAAAGATATCTCTGCTCAAGCATAAAACGTTACCAAAATGTTCGTTACAAAAATAACAATCAAACATATGCCTAGATACGAGCAGATAATTGTAGAACAAAAACATGCATAAAATAGGATTAATGGTGAACCAACCAAGAAGGCCAGTGATGTTCAAGTTTACAATCCATGGCACAACGGACAAAATAAATCAAGAATAAACACGGGCGTGCAGGCCCCAAAAACGAACACGGGCACGCATGCCCCCAAAACAAATAAAAGTCAATATACGGGCACGTAGGCCCAAAGGAAAACTAGATGCTAAACACTCCCCGGGTTACTGGCGTCCACGCCAGGAGAATCGGGAGGAGGCACGACCTGGACGTCAATGATCTGAGACAGAAACCCAACGCCCTCGGTGTTCAGACCCGGATTTAACACGGACAGCTGATTCACCGCAGTCTCGAATCCGTCGGCTAAGGCACCAACGCAATCTGACTCGAGGAGGTGAATACGAGCAACCAAATCTGAGCGGGTATGCAAAGAGGCTATCTCCTCTGGCTCGTCATCAGCAGGAAGCATAGCAGCTTTCAGCTCCTCAACCTCCCTGGACAACCGTTGGTTGTCACTCTCCAGATGTTCCTTGTCGAGTTGGAGGCAATCCCTCTCCTCCAGGGCCTTCTCAGCCTTCTCCTTCTCCCCCGACAGTAGGTCGTCCTGTTCATAGAATATCTCATCGGACTGCTCGAGGGCCGCCTTCAACTTGCGGGATTTTGCCGCAAAAGCCGCCTTCTCCGATTCCAGCACCCTAACCCGATCTGTAGAATCTGGTCCTTCCCCTGCAAGGACCACAACTATCTCGGCCATCTTAACCACACCGACCATGCTAGCGGCGGGGTGTTTCCTCCGACCTTCCTTGTCAAGTTGTTTAATGATGTCGGCCTCGTTATCAGACACGGTCAGGGGAAACCCCTCAAAGAAATCCTTCTCCACAAAGCATGGTGGTAAGCCAAAAGCCCAGACAACTATGGGCTCATCAGCAGTTTCCGCTCCACTCTCTGGCCGACTCCTCTTCCTACTGATCAGCCCAGTCTGTTGTTCAGCGTTGGGAGAACTCGAGGACCCACTGGATCCGTCTCTGCCCGAATCAGCGGGCAGGCCCATCCGCGTGGCCTGCTGCGGTCTCACCAGTCTCTTGCTTATCTTTTTATCCTGGGTCAACTTCAGCAACCTCTCTCGATGTTCCGCCATGTGACCTGCAAGGAGAGCGAACTAGGGTTAGCTATGAACGATTAAAGGCAATTAAAAAGGAACAACAACAAGAGCAAAAGCAAGAAACCTAGGAGATCTACGGCCTGCCCGTAGGATTGGCATTCAACGAGCGCCTTGGTATTGATAGGGCGCGCCTCGAGAGTCGGGTAGCCACCCTCATCAAGAATGTCGTCCCCCTCCCTCGTGACCCACCGAGCGGGGAAAAAGCCATCAACAAACTTACAAAGGACGGCATAAGCGTCCTTATCCTCAGCACTCATACTCCCCGCAGGGGTATGATAGTACCTGGGACCGTGGTCATAATGGCCCGAGCACCAATGGATGGGAAACTTAGAAATCCGCCCGACTTCGGGGTTTCCCTCAGCATCCAAACATGGCTCTCCATTCTCGTCGACCACTGTGGCTGGTTCAAACAAAGAGTCTAGGGCCGTCTGGGTGGACGGATGCAGTATGTACCATTTGTCTTTAAAGTCCCTCACCGAGTCCATGTACATCCTAAACAGCCTCTTCGACTGTTTAAGGGATACCCGGTTGTGTTTACCTCCTCGTGATTGTCGTTGAAGATGAAAAACCCTGAAGAATAGGGGAATCGTCGCCCCAATTCTCAGGAAACGAAAGGTTAGCTCGAATGCCCGAAGAAAGGAAATCGCGTTGGGGTGAAGCTGGGAAGGGGCCAAGTTCAGATGGTTGAAAACCCCGACCTGGAAATCGTTGAAAGGCACCCGAAGACCGAGATCCCTGAACACGATCTCGTACATGGGGAACGCGTCCTGGGTATATTCCGAGCATATGCGAGCGTCACTCGCCGGCCTCATTATCTTGAAGTTTCGTTGAAACCCTTCTTGGTTACCGCCGTACTCGACGATGGTATAAGCCTGTCTGCTGCGCTGGATATACACCGAAGTAATACCCCGGGGCTCAGCGCCCACCTAGTCCAATGTGGGGTCGTCGACGGTGTCGACCAGAGTAATGTTCTCTTCTGCGGTGCTTGTATCCTCGACGTCATTACGTCCCGAGGACTATGGATTGTTGGCCATTTACCTGCAAAGTACAGGAAACCGGTGAATTCGACAGCAAATCTGCGTGCCCGCCACAAAGGCGGGGAGAAGTGAGCAACGCTCAGATCGAAACTACAGCCATCCGCGAGGGAAACGAGAAATAAGTAGATCTCGACCAAACATCAACACCCCACCGCCAACCACACATCAACCGTGAACAAAACGAGCGTAGCATGAAGCACCCCCAGGTGAACCTTGAATCACATGACCAAGTTCATAATTTCGCTTACCCGGGGCTGGAACACTGCGGGGAAACTACCCTACATACTACCTAAAGGATGAATATCTCGGTCAAGTTCATGACTCTACCGACCAAACGCATGAGTATCACGGGAAAGATCATGAATCATATGCCTAAAACTTATGAATGTCTCGAGCACAGACACGAATCAGGCGCCTAGCGCGCTTAAATTTACCGGGCATAACTTCCAGATACAGGTTTCTATTATCAAAACATTATCAAAATGATCTATAACGCAGGAAAGCAGGAAGAAAGGATACTTACTTGGAAGAAGATGCGTAGAAATAACGGTGGTGGGAGTAAAAGGACGGCGAACGGCGTGGTGGTCTCAACGGAGTTGCGGGAACCAACGACTGTAAAAACAAAGAAGGTAAGAGAAGCGTGAAGAGGTAAAACAGACTATGGGCCCTGGAATCCTATTTATAGAGATGACGTGGAATATGAAACGTCACATCGAGGAACCATGAAACGCCCACGTCCTCGACACCTACTCACCTAGGCAATGATGGCCCTATTTACTAGGGCGGCGTTGCGATTTTCAAGGACCAAGCCACGCGTCCAACGGACGTAGCAGACGCTTCCCCGCAAGCGATCCTCGAGCAAACCTCGGCAGGGAAAGACCTGGGTCGGGCACGAGGTCCCCGCGAAAGAACAAACTGAGATCAAGTCATAACTCTTGTACCAGGAACAACGACTTGGGGGGCTCCTGTTCTGGACTGGGCCTGTCTTGGCCCAAAACACGAGACCCAGATCCAAGCAGTTCCTCGAGCTATGCTCGGAAACAGACCACTCGAGCATGCCCAGTCACAAGTCACAACAGCTATGCTCGTCCCTGCTCGCAACGAGCAGCATCCCCGACCGAGGGTTCTCCAACTCGAGCGTCACTCAAGTATCCTCCCTGTAGGGCAGACTCAGTCCCTCTGAATGCTGTGGGATCCTTAAAGCTCCGGGAAGACCGCGTCTTCGTTCTTCCTCATTCTTCGCAGAGAATCATCCAGGAAGGGGACCACGTGCGAGTCCCCACTACACACGTAGAACCTAGAAGTCCCTTTGTTGGGGCAGTTTTGGTCGGCCCAATAAAGGGACCTTGGCCCAGCGCTTGAGGGTTATAAATACCTTTTATTTCAATAGGGTCAGGTATTCATCGTTACACACCTACACACTATTTGTCTGCTCATTCCGTCTCTCATTTTATCATCGAAGTGTCTTACAAGTACCTCACTTTATTCAAATTCAGTTCGAACCAGCTGTGACAATTCAATTCTGATCAGGTGAGATCAAATGTGTTTTTGACAAATAATAGAAAAGAAAAATATTTAATTTTCTTATTATATAACAATAACGCCTCTTTAATAAAAACAACAGTTATCACAATTTTCTTTAATCCATTTTCATTTGATATGATTGATATTCAACTAACAACAAAAATCTGCACATTGAAAATCAAAAGACTCGCTATTAACTTTTATTATCATACTTCAACAGGGATGAGACTCTTATTCACCCGAACTTCTAAAGTAATATGTTTTTAAGGGTTCAAGAGTAGTGGGTGTTGCTGAAGTTCACTACCAATTTCAGAAGAACCATAATAGAAGAATGTTTTTAACAAGATTTGATTCAAATTATGTATATGTATATTATTATTGCTTTCATATTTTGTATGTCATATCAACACTGGTTTTGGCATAATATATTTTTCTACTGCAAATTATGTTGGCCTATGTTTTAATGGAATTTATTTTACACCAAATTTTCTTTTGAATGTAGCATTGCATCTAGCAAACACACTTCTCTAAGTTTACCATCTTTTTTAAATAGAATTTCTCTTCTCCTAAAGAGAAGATAATAACCTACAAGTTGGTGTTGATGTGCCTTCAAAATTCTAATTTATTTTGAATCGAAATTATAATTCTCATTTGTCATGAAATTTGAATAAATTTTTTATTTTATATTGGTATTTTTTTATTTTTAATTGCTATAATTTTAGAAACAAATATTACAATTTTTAATAAAATATTTACGATTTATTTTTTTAAAGTACGACTAATTAATATATTTTTATACAATATTAAAAACAAATATTACAATTTTTTAATCAAATATTGGAGTACCATTTAATTCGATAGTTTACCAATATATCTTTTGAATGAAGACATTATTATTATTTATTTTTATTATACTTATATGGAAATTATTGGTGACATAAATATATTTAATTTTTATATAAGATTTGATTCCATAAAATATTATGATCAATAAAATTTGAATTCTCTTCTAATATTATAGATTTGATACTGTTTCATATTGTAGAAATATTATATACATTAGAATATATAAAGATATGAAAAAAATTAAATCAAAACTTTACAAATATATCTTTTGAATGGAGGTATTAATATTATTTATTTTTATTATATATAGAAAATATTTTGAATGGTCACATTAATACATTTTATTACTTCTAAATATATTTGTGTATATTTTTTGAAAGGTTACATTTATATTCTTGAAAAAATAACGTAGTTTAAAGGATGTATTGTTAACTATAAATATATTGTTAATAAAATTAACAAAAAAAAAGTATATTATAAATATATAAAAAGATAAAGTAAATAAGAACTCTAATGTTTATCTTAAATATTTAATTTATCATTCTATAAATGTAAGAATAAATATTATTTTGTAATTATTTAGATCCTTATTTGACCTAAAATAAATTATTTCAATTTCTATAAAAAGGTTAATAAAACAAAACAAAATCAATTGAGATTTGATAATTTTTTTAAGGTTATGAAATAACTAAAATATATCATAATCTTTTCAAATTAACTTTATAATTGTAATCATGATAAAAAAATATTAAATGGTAATCATGAAAATTTAATGATTTTTTTCTGACCATTGCTTTTCTTTTCAATTCAAGATTAATTGGCAGAATTGTTAGAATCTGGAAAGTTACCTTTTCTTATTGGTACTTGATTGTTCATAATTATAACATTTTTAATTAAATTTTGAAATAACACTTAACACTATTTAACGCTATTATTATTATTAATTATTATTATTAATAATTGAAATGGTTCACAAAAATAATCACTTGTATTCTGTTGACTTCAGAATTTTACTTCAAAATCTTGGAACCGTGAATGTTGTATTAACAATTATATTTATTATCATATAACCAAAAACTTTATTCATTTTATGTCTACAATCATTTTATGTGGTTAACAAAAAAAATTGAATGACAACCATACAATCAAAGTGATTTTCTACCCATTCATTTTTGCATCACCTAACCAACACTATGGAACCACAAGTTGCAGCAATGGCAAGACGTAAAAGGAAGCAGATTCTTAAAGATAAAAGATTGAAAAAAAAGGAAGAACTGATGAAAACACAATCAATCCCATTGAAAACTCTCAAAGGTATTATGTTCCAACCATGGTTAATATCAGAACACCACTATCTGATTTAACTTCATCAATCTTTAATGAAAGAAATATGAGTTCACCTTCACCAGCATCTGCATCAAGCAACTCAAGTACAATGAAGAGTTTCAATATTGTTTCTACAAATCAACTGGCTGCTTCAGCACGACAGCGGAAGAAAAGTATTATGGAAGGTAAGATGCCCCAATCTTACAAACTTCATAACAACCTTAGCAATAGCAGTGGGTCCTTTCAGGATAAATTCTCCATCCTTTTTGCATTTCAAAACACCATTTTCTGATATAGTTTCCTCATGTTCTAACCAAAGAAACATAAAACCTCATGCACCGCCAAGTTGTTCTATTCAAAAATCAAAAAAACAGTTGACTGTTACACCTCTTTCTGACTGAGACATATACTCAACTGAAACATGATAACATACTTAATAATTTAATAATCTATAAATATAATGTGAATCCAGACGAAACCCGTGCGATAGCACGGATTTGTTACTAGTTTAATATGAAATTTGTAATACCTAATCAATATCTAATGCTTATGTAAGACATCATGCGAAATTCACGAATGGCCACCCAAACTTCATTGTATTAATCACGCTTCACTAATATGATGATAATTGGAATATTTAAACATTTTTGTTGTATTTTTATTTTTATTAAACTAAAAGAGAAATTTCCTATAACCGTTAGCCGACATACACTTTGTGGTTCGACACTAAATCTAAATAGTGAAGCTTTCCACTTAAACCTTGTCTCTTTACTCCACTAAACTAAATATACCCCTCCCAACTTTGAATATTGACTTTTAAAAAGAATTAATTATTTTTCTTAATCAACAGATGAAATATGTAGCAAACTTGCATTATATCATTCATCTTGTTGATGTCTTATGAAGGAGTCAAACATTGAAGTACCGTGATATCCAAGAAGTTAACAATAATTTGAGACTCGTCTGACAAATAAGAGTCCATTTGGTTTGGATATAATTTTTTGATTGATGTCAATGTTTCCTATTCAAATCTGTGAAAGCAAGATGCATAAGCAAAAGTAAGGTGACAATTTTGTAATTAAAAGTGAAAATAGAAAATGGAAGAAAAAAAGAAAGCTTTCAAACCAAATAAAGTCTAAAATCTTTATTGCAGATTCATAAATGTGTGAAAATCACTTCGAATAGAACAAATCTATTATAGTGCATACCTTGAATTCTCTTAAATTTGTGTATTCTTCCCAAAAACAAAATTTTCTTTTCAACCTTTTAACAGCAACCTGGTAGATAAGATGAGAATAGGAGCATAAACACCAAAGAGATATCCATTTCAACCTTTAATACAATATGTATGTATGAATGTATAACACCTTTTTCTTTATTTCATTCCCTCACAAAATACCCCATTCACACATCTCACTTTATATATATTATACTATGAAATACTAATACTTACATACATACACAAGTCTCGTCTCATGTATGGATCATAAGTCTCATCTGCCATATCTAATAGGTAAGAGTATTACATGAGCTATGAAATTAAGAAGAACCAATGAGATTCAACAGTCTAAATATATAACACTTTCTAAATTAGTTTGTACAAATGCAAATAGCAAAACACAAATGTAGCAAATACATATCTGATAAAACAGACCTCAGTCATTTTTTGTATCATCGTCATTGGCTGAAAAATGATAACCGAAAGTGTCACCATTGATGTGATATCAGAGCCAACATACTTTTGCATCATTTTCCAGTAACTATCTTGTTCCTGTAATGTAAAAAGTACACTTCAGGGATAAACTATAGAAACAATAGTGTTATGCAGTACACTATTTAAGACATAGTGGTGCTAAACACGCTATTTAGCAGACTTTAAACAAGTTGTTATTTTTTCATGATTCGCAATTGAGAAATATGTTTAACATGTCGGGGAAACCTCATAGGTTGACTATAACATAAAGTGGACAACATCGTGTTTCCAAAATGTTATAATTACATGATATACAAACAGACACAAATAATGCATTACTGCATTACTTACCATTCATTCATCTTAGTGTCATACTGGTTCGCATCAAATTGCGAACCTTCTGGAGCCAAACCTTCCATACTGCAGATCCAAGAACAGAGTTTAGATAAAATTCAACACATATTACAAAAAAAAATAACAAACATACAACTAAATATCCATTAAAATTATAAGAAAACACAATCCAGACCTTAATACGAGAAATAAAATTAGGTTTTGCGTACGCAATAACCACAGGTCCTAATAATCAAATCCATGAAAAGAACCCAATTAGATTAGCATTAGTCATAAAAATGTACCACAAACTCAACAAATAAAGAAAATGTCACAGCCAAAAAGAAACATAAAACTTGATTTTCATACATATCCTTGAACTTATATTCTGAGGACCACTGGTATCATAGTTATCAAAGTGAGATACATAATCAAACAAGTGAACGCATCGAAATGGAACTTTTAGCACATGACCAATTAACAACGAGTCATCCAGTTATCATCCAGTTAGTATAGTTTTCCTTAGTGTCAGGAAGATCATTCTTCCATTTCAATTTGAAGCAGAGAAGGGAAGATACGAAGGCATACCAACCCTCTATCATCATGCGATCTAACTTTCTGCCATAACCATCAAATCTGCACCATGGAATCAACGATAATAATTATATTACAAATCTGTATCAGTGATGTAAAACATAAACCTAATTTCTACAAGAACTTCAAATTTTCTTGCACTGAATACGAAATGTAGAAAACTCACTGGAAAGGCGTTCGCAAGGGTTCTGAACTGCGTCAAGAAGGAACTGGTCAACTTGATTGACGACATCATCCAAGACGTTGGTGTTATCGTCACTGGACGACGGAGGAGCATCGTCGGTGGGTTCATCCGAAGAGTGGTCCAATTTGAGGCGGGTTATGGAGTTGTTCAAATCGGCGATTAATAATGTCCGCAAGGCTTCTGAATCTTCAGCAGAAGCCATGGCGAGAAATTGCGAGTGAAGAAATGGTATATTCTAGGGTTAGAGAATCACGTAGCAGGTTCCATAGAAAGAAAAGAAAGAGAGAAGAAAAAAGAAGAAGAGAGAGGAATGCGAAACCGTACGTCATAGAATGATTTGGAAAAAGAATTGAAGATTCAATTTTGTAACTGCCAAAAATTTTAGGAAAACATAGAAGGATTTAGGCAAACAAATACACTGAATTGTAAGTCAGCATATATTGTGATTTTGGAGCAAAAGGACAAAATTAATTTTTAAATAGATCTAATTTTCTTATATTATAGATTTTGTTTAATTTAATAAAGTACTCAAATGAAAAAAGAAAAATAGAAATTAATGAAAAGGATAGAACTCCTAAGAAATTATTATTCAAATATTAATGCTATGTTTGGTTGTTGAAAGAAGTTGAGAAAAGAGAAAGAAGAAAGAGAGTGAGAAGAGAGAAATGAGAAATATAGATGATTTGATATATTGATTGATATAAGAGAAAGATAGAAAAAATAGATGAGAAAGAAATGTTGATTAATTTTAAAAAATACTAAAATATCCCTAATTAATTAATTTTTATTTTAATTTATTTAATTAATTAATTTTCTAATAATATATTTTAACAAATATACATTTAACAAAAAAATATTGTTCTGGACTGGGCATGCCTTGGTCCAAAACACGAGGCCCAAATCCAAGCAGTTCCTCGAGCTATGCTCGGAAACAGACCACTCGAGCATGCCCAGTCACAGGCCACAACGGCTATGTCCGTCGCTGCCTGCAACGAGCAGCATCCCCGACCGAGTTGGCTCGAGCATCTTCCTCGTAGGGCAGACTCAGTCCCTCCAAATGTTGCGGAATCCTTAAAGCTCTGGAAAGATCGCGTCTTCGTTCTTCCTCATTCTTCGCAGAGCATCATCTAGGAAGGAGACCATGTGCGAGTCTCTACTACACACGTAGAACCTGGCAGTCCCTTTGTTGGGCCAGTTTTGGTCGGCCCAATAAAGGGACCTTGGCTCAGCGCTGGGGGCTATAAATACCCTCTATTTCAAGAGGGTCAGGTATTCATCGTTACACACCTACACACTATTTGCCTGCTCATTCCGTCTCTCATTTTATCATCGGAGTGTCTTGCATGTACCCCTCCATCTCATTCAAATCCAATTCAAGCCAGCTGTGACGGTCCAATTCTGATCAGGTGAGATCAGTGGCGCCGTCTGTGGGAATCTAAGCTTCCCCGTCTTACAAACCTTCAAAGACCAAAAGCTAAAACCATTTTTCCACCGTCATGGCTGACCAGATCCAGGACAATCAGAACGCCTGGGTCGTCGAGGCCAGCAATAACCTCGCCGATAACAACGCCGACGTCACATCCCATGTTACTGCTCCCGGCGGCAACATCCCCGGAATCTCCAACTACCGGGATGGAGCCACGGCTTCGTCTTCATCAGTCCCCCTTCGACTCGAAGAAGATAATCTGGTTCCCCCGAACCATCAAGCTGCTCAATTCCATGAAGTTCCTGTCCCCGTCGGGGCAGATGCCACGACCAGGGCACTATTCGCGGCAATCAACCAGACCAATTACCTCATCTTTGCCCAAGGGGAAAGACTGAGAGCGCTAGAGGAGGATAGAAGGCCCCCGAGGAGACATAGGAGGCCTCAATCCCCACCTCCTCGAAGAATGGAGCAACACCTCCGATCTCCCCCGCGGAGACAAGACAGAGGCATCTTCCGAAGCTCGTCGCCCAGACCACCGGGGAGGCGACCCTCCTTGGAGAGGGAGCCAATCGTTGAAGCCGGAGGGCGCGACCACGACCCTTCACGGCAAGAACGAAGTATCCTGGAGACGGGCACGGAGGGACGTGTCAACGGACGCACCGCTCGAGGAACGCCCAGCACGATCAGAGCCATCGTGTCCGACAATACCTCAGGTCCCCATCCCTCTCCCCGGAGCAAAGTGATGAGGACGACCCCCGCGGTCCCCTATCACAAGCCATCATGGAGGCGCTCATTCCCCCGGGCATGGAGAAGCCTCCTCATCTGAAAGAATACGATGGAGTCGCTGACCCAGTCGATCACATAGACGGGTTCGAGACTATGCTGCATTACCATAACATCGGGGGATCCATCAAATGCCGATTGTTCCCCACGACCCTCAGGAAAGCGACAATGGATTGGTACAAGGGTCTTGCCCCGGGGCCAATCACCTCGTGGCGAAACATGATGCTCACCACCACCCCGAACGTTCGATGCTCTCCTCAAGAAGGCCAGGGCCTACATGGATTACGAGGAAAGGGAAGCGGCCAACAGAGCCCGTGACCCCAGAACTCGCGGATCCAGCAGTAACCCGCGCCAAGAAGCCATCCCTCCTCGTCGAGTCGGGGAAAAAAGGAAGGACGACAAACCCCAGGACCTCCGAGAACAGAGGGGACCCTCGAGGCGTTTCACAGAGTACACTCCGCTCACAGCTTCCTGCGAGTGCATCTTGGCGGAGTGTGTCAATACAGATTTTAAAGATGGCAGCGTCAAGCGCCCCCGACCAGCTCCTGCCAAGCCCGGGGTGGACAGGAGCAAATATTATCAGTACCATAGGAGCCATGGTCATGTGACTGAAGACTTCGTCCACCTCTAGGACGCCATCGAAACCCTCATAAAAGGGGGGAGGCTCGCCCAGTATCGGCAAAACGAAGCTCCTCGTCGCGACGCCTGTGAGACAAGAGAAACGGAGGAGGATGTTCGATCATCTGACGAGTCGGTCCCCATCCAAACCGCCTTCTTCGTCACCAGACCCGAGGACTTCTACGTCCCCGAACACTTGCAATAGCCGCTCACGACGCACAGCAGGTGGGAGCACTTTCCCTCCGCCATGGTCATCAATGGTGGAGGGTTCAACGACCTGACCATAAATTCAGCTAAGAGGAAGCTGGATGAATTGGTTGACACGGCACATCCTCAGACGGTCACCTTTGAAAGAGTGAAGGGTAGGTCAGAACCTATCACCTTTTATCTCGAAGAGCTCCCCGGAGGGGTCCCCAACGCGGTCATTCCTCTGCTGATAAGAGCGAGAATGGCCAACTTTGACGTATATCGCGTCCTCGTCGAAGAAAGAAGTTCCGTCAACGTGATGTACAACCAACTTTTTCGAACCCTGCAGCTCGACGACTCGCACCTCTCACCTTATGTTGGGTCAGACCTGCAGGGCTTTAACGGCCCGACTTCTAAACCTTGGGGATATGTCGAGCTCATGGTCACGTTTGGCGAGGATACAACAACGAGGCAGGTCAAGGTGCGCTTCCTCGTCATCGACTGCCCTTCCTTCTACAACTGTATTCTGGGAAGGTCGACATTGGCGGAACTGACCGCGGTACCCTCTACCGTCCATTTGAAGATGAAGTTTTACACCAAGAGGGCAAGGGTCGCCACCATCCAAGGGGACCTGGAAGCTTCCTGAAGGTGCTTCAACGCGGCGTCCAAGGGACGCGATACGATCGACACCGGTGCAAGGCCCGCCAAGAGAGTTGTAACACGCGACAAGAGCCTCAGAAGACAGAGCCCGTCAAAGAAGAAGAGCAGATAGCTCCCCCAGAGGTCGACTCAATAGCCCTGGACACCCGTTTCGACCAGGATGAGCCTCCCAGCGGCGAGCAAGTTCCCCTTCGACCAATTCTGGACGGGGACTTCGAACTCGTCCCTCTTGAAGAGGACGCGAGCAAAGGAGTGAAGATCGGAACCGGCCTCCCCGACTTAGCAAGGAAGAAAATCAAAGCCTTCTTGCGCGAGAATGCGGACCTATTCACGTGGAGCGCCGCAAAGATGCCCGGACTCGACCCTGAGGTCGCCTGTCACCGCCTTGCCATAGATCCAGCCGCTAGGGCAGTAGTACAACGTAGGCGTAGGCAGTCTCCGGAGAAAACGGAGGCTGCTGAAAAAGCTGTAAAATACCTCCTAGAGGCAAATTTTATTTCTGAAGCCCAGTATTCAACCTGGCTGTCAAATGTTGTACTAGTAAAAAAGAATAACGAAAAGTGGTGGATG